AGTAGTAGTAGTAGTAGTAGTAGTAGTAGTAGTAGTAGTAGTAGTAGTGGTGGTGGAGGTGGTACTAGTACTACTCCTACTAGAAGCAGTCAGTAGTAGCAGCACTAAGGGTGGTATTAGCAGAAGCGGAAGCAGCAACAGCGGCCCAACTCATCCAGCATTCCCCTCGACTCCTTGCCATCGGGGCTTTGCCATTACCATTACCAACGATCAAATTGAAGGGAAAAAATAGAATTTGATCAGAAATCATGTAAAAAGAACCTTCTTTATTTTATTTATTTTATATATATATATATATATATATATATATATATATATATATATATATATATATATATATATATATATATATATATATATATATATATTATAATTTGAGGAGGAACTGGCTATCCGATCAATTCTTTCTCCTCAACGATCACTTTTCATAAAAGAGATAAGTCAACCAGAGAAGTGTATACCTGAAAGGATTAAACTCTCTCTGCTTAATAGACCAAGAAAAAAATAAATAATAAAAAATAACCTTATTGAGTCGCATTTGAACGCCGCAAAGTGAGTGAATGTAGCGCTGAGTGTGAATGCCTCAGATTAAGTAATGTCGGCGTAGGCATGGCTGTAAGAGGAGGATTAGAGGACACTAAAAAAGTAATACTACTACTGCTATTACTATTACTATTACTACTAATTCTACTACTACTACAACAACAACTACTACTACTATTACTACTACTGCTAAGTCTTCTACTACTAATTCTATTACTACTGTAACTACTGCTGCTGCTACTACTACAACTACTACTACTACTACTACTACTACTACTACTACTACTACTACTACTACTACTACTACTACTACTACTACTACTACTACTAACTGTTACAACTACTATTACTACTATCACTACTACTAATTCTACTACTACTATAACTACTGCTGCTGCTACTACAACTACTACTATTACTACTACAACTACTCCTACTACTATTACCACTACCAACAGCATCTTTAATAGTATTATCAGAAGTAGTAGAAGTAGAAACAGTAGGGGCAGCAGTAGTAGTAATAACAGTAGTAGAAACAGCACTAAATAACAGCTGTAAACCAAAAAAAAAAACTGCATTAACAACACGAATCCTAGCACAGGAATCACTCGCCGCCACTCGCCGCCACTCGCCGCCACTCGCATCCCCGTTTCAGACTAAACACGAGATGGTGGCGTAAAGCAAGGCAATAAAAAGGGAGATTGAAGGACATAAAAAAAAACTAAGAAGCAAAAGCAGTAGTTGCAGCAGTGGGCGGCGCCATCTTCGGAGCTGCCGTGAGCTTCCCAGACAGAAATGAGATGAGGACGTTATCCATGAAAATGATGACTGAGTAAGAAGCGTTAAAAACCCTGTTGGACTTTGCGATGCCAAGAAAGGGTGGTTGGAGCTATTTTTTTAAGTAGTAGTAGTAGTAGTAGTAGTAGTAGTAGTAGTAATAGTAGTAGTAGTAGTAGTAGTAGTAGTAGTAGTAGTAGTAGTAGTAGTAGTAGTAGTAGTAGAAGTAGTAGGTTTGGAGAAGTAGTTGTAGTGGTAGCTGTAGCAATAGCAGTAGTAAGCACTAGTAGAAATGGTAGTCGCAGTAGAAGTAATATTAGTAATAGAGCAGTGGTAGTAATGCAGTAGTAGTGGTAGTGGTAATGGCAATAGTAGTAGTAGTAGAAGCAAAATAGTAGTAGAAGTAGTAGTAGTAGTAGTGGTAGAAGTAGTAGTAGAAGCAAAATTGTAGTAGAAGTAGTAGTAGTAGTTGCAATAGTAGTAGTAATAGTAGTAATAGTAGTAGTAGTAGTAGTACTAGTAGTAGTAACAACAACAGTAACAACAGAAGTACAAATAGTTACCACTGTAATTGAGTAGGCAGTAGCAACAGCATAAATCATAATAACAGTAGCACTAACCTCAACCGTTATGTAGTGGAAAAAAGACCATCACTTGTAGCTGAGCAAGCGACATCACATGTAATATGAAACATTTACCAACAAATGCTACAGTCATGACCATAAGGGGGAGATTGAGAGCCGTAAAAAGGACTGCGGTCTGGTGCTTCGCTAAAGAGAGGAGCTTAGATGGACCGTGAATATATTCCGAATTATGGGAGAAAGAGAGAAAGGGAGAAGGGGAAGAGAGAGAGGGAGGGAGGGAGGGAAGAGAGGGAGGGAGGGAATAGGGAGGGAGGGAAGGAGGGAGGGAGGGAAAGAGAGAGAGGGATTAAGGGAAAAGGGGAGGGAAAGAGAGGGAGGGAGGGAGGGAGGGAGGGAGGGAGGGAGGAGGAAGAGGTGGAGAGTGGTAGGGAAAGAGGGAGAGAAGGAGGGAAGGAGAGAAAGAGAGACATGAAAACAGAAGGAGGGAGACAAAATGAATGAGAGTGGGGAAAGAGAGGAATGGAAATAGAAATAAAGATAGGAGATAAAGAGAGAGAGAGAATAAAAAAAAGAACTGAAATATAAACCTCTGATACCGATATTCAGAGTCCCAAAGAAAACAGAATTCAAGAGCTGCTCTCACTGGTCTCAACATTCCTATCTGAGTCTCCTTGGTCAGCAGAGAATCGCCTGCCTGCTTAATCTTGGTCCATCTTGGGGGAATTGCTGGATCAAGCAAGTCCTTGCAGAGGCGTTGCAGTTTCAATTAATTTGCATACTGAGAGAGACATGAGCGCAGTTACCGTATGTATATGTACATGCGCACACACGTACGCACTCACACACACACACACACAAGCACACATATATACGAGAGCAAGCAAGCACAAACACACACACGCACACACACGCACGCACACACACACACACACACACACACGCACACACGCACACAATCAGGTTGTAAACAGGCTTCGGAAAATGTCCCTTCCCCCGAGATAATAACTCCGCCCGCCCCTCGCAAAGTGGTTTAGGCCATCCTTTTATGAGTGCATATCGGTGACCCTCGTAGCTACGATCCCCCCTCCCCCCCCATACGCTCTACGATCCCCCCTCCCCCCCCCACACGCTCTACAACCCCCCTCCCCCTCCCCCTACTCCCTCTTTGTTTCCCACTTTCCCCTCTCGGCTTTTACTTTCATTTCCTCTCTTTCCCTCTTTCTCTCTTTTCCTCTGCTTCCTCCTTCTCCTCCTCCATCTTCGGTCATCCTCCTTTCCTCTTCTATTTTGTCTCTCCTCTGTTTCTATTTACTCCTCTCCGGTTTAATCATCGGCCTCTCCTCTTCCTTCTCCATTTAATCTTCGTCTCTCTCTCTCTCTCTCTCTCTCTCTCTCTCTCTCTCTCTCTCTCTCTCTCTCTCCCTCTCTCTCTCTCTCTCTCTCTCTCTCCTTCTCCCTCTCTGTCTTATCTTCCTCGTTCTCTCTCTCTACTTCTCTTTCCCTCTCCTTCGCTCTCCTCTCTCCCTCGCCCTCTCTTTTCTCTCTCTGCCTCTCCTTCCCCTCTATTTCCTCTTCCTCTCCTTCCCTTTCCCCTTTCTACCTCACCTTGTAATCTCTTTTCCTCCGCCTCTCCCTCCCCACTCTCCCTGTAGTCCTCCCTCCCCTCTCCTCCCCCTTTCTTTCCCTTTTAACCATCTGTCTCTCTTTCACCTCCCTCCCTCCCTCCCTCTCTCCCTCCCTCCCTCCCTCCCTTCCTTCCTCTGCCTCGGCCCTTCCTTCCGCCACCCTATCACCCCCTTTTCCCTCCCTCCCCTCTCTCCCTTCCACTCACTCACCCTCCCTCCCTTTCCGCCTCTTTGCCACCCTCTCTCCCTCCCTCCCTCTTTACCTCACCCTCCCTCTCCCTCTCCCTTTCCGCCTCCTCGCCCCCCTCTCTCCCTCCCACTCCCCCAACTCCGCCCCTCCCACCCCTTCTCCCGCCCCCCTCTCTTTCCCTTAACCATCAACCCGCTCATTTCCCTTCGCGACATCGACCCCCTTCCCCCTTCCTCTCCCTCCCCTACCCCTCCCCCTTTCCTCTTCCCCCTCCCCCCCTCGTAGAAATCTTTCCCCTCTCCAATCCCTGCATGTTCAATTTCCTTTCCCTGTTTCCCCTCCGTTTCCCCTTGCCAAATTTTCCCTAATTCCTTCTCTGGTCATTAAACTAGTTACTTTCTGATTTCTTTTTTTCTTTCTTTCTCTCTTTATTTCTTTTCGATTTCTTTCTTTCTCTCTTTTTCTTTTCTTTTCTTTCTTTCTTTCTTTCTATTCGATTTCTTTCTCTCTTTTTTTTTTTTCTTTCTTTCTTTCTTTCTTTCTATTCGATTTCTTTCTCTCTTTTGGGGTCTTTTGTCTTTTTTTTTCTTTCTTTCATTTCTATTTCTCTCTTTTGTTTTTTTTTTGTCTTTCTTTCTTTCTTTCATTTCTATTTCTTTCTCTCTTTTGGATTTTTTTTCTTTCTTTCTTTCTTCCTTTTCCATCTCTTTCTCTCTTTTGTCGTTTTTGTTTATTTCTTTCTCTTCTATCTCTTTCTCTCTTTTTTTCTTTTTCTTTTTTTCTTTCTTTTGGGTCTGTTTTTTTCCCTTTATTTCTGCACTCTCTTCTTCGTCTCTTTTAATATATCTTATTTCCTCCTCTGTTCCGTTCTGTTTCCTTTCGATTCCTCTTTACTATATTTTTTCCGACTCTTTTTCTTTCTTTCTTTTCTCCCATTCTCTCTCTTTTTATGAAATACATTCTTCTTTTTTTTCTTCTTCTTCCTCTCTTTCCTCTTCCTCTTCCTCCTCCTCCTCCTCCTTTTCCTCTTCCTCCTCCTCCTCCTCCATCTTCTTCTCCTTCTCCTTCTTCTTCTTCTCTCCTCCGTCATCATTCCCTCCGTTCGCCTCAGTTTCTCACAAATAATTCTCCTCCTCCTCCTCCTCTCCCTCTCCTTTATCCCATGTCCTTCCTTCCTCCCTTCGTAATTGGCTTCTGTGATCGATCTCTTGCCACTAAGGAACTTAAACTTACCCCCCCCCCCGCCTCCTTCTCCTCTCTCTCGCTCACCCACTCAGTCAC